AAAAAGTAGTTTTAAAAAAAAAGGCCATTGAACCACTCCTCAGTCTAGACAGTAAGAACAGAGACCATTCAGTTCCCCAAAGGAAAAGGGGCAAGATCTAAATGCCTTAGCATTTTAGCACTTTAAAAATTACATGTTAAAAATGGCTATTTAATTCCTATGCATGGGGACCTTCACATCAGGAAATGGAACAGAGGGTAAAAATGTTAAGCTGGGAACTCGTATGTTCTTAGGTTTGTACACCCAGAGGACCAGATACAAATATCAGTGGTCCATAAGTCTTGAAACAGTTGTCATTGAGACCTTTAGTTTTCTAAAGAATTAATCATCAATTAGCCTTTTCTTTTGTTTTTTTCCCCATTTCCATAGTACTGTGCTCAAATATAACTACCACATACTGGGAAACTTGTCTAATTTGAAAACAGATTGTCAGCTTGTACTTTGGCCTCAGCAAAGGTTACCTGGCCTTCTGTAGTGTTGACCAGCCAAGTGTTCAGCACACCTGCCTAACCAGTCATTGGAAATACTGCTATAGCGAGCTGGTGCGGACTGACACTGAGTCTAGCAGGTTTTATTAGATCAAGCACAAATGCAGCAGTACTGGCCCTGAGAAGAGGTTGATTCCAGAAGCAGTATGGCTATAAATAAGTGATTGTTGAGCCAGAGATAAGCCTTAGTCAACTGGGCTGGTACTGAGCAGAGGCAATTCACCCTTGCTGCCCTCCAAGAAACTGGAATGTTGGGGACCGAGCTTCAGAATGAGTCACGCTTTGCATCACTTCTGGACTTGAGCTCTGTGAAGACATGTTTGAGCAGCATTGCACCTGAACTACAAACCAGCTTGGTTTTACATCCCTACTTATTTTTACTTTTCGTCTTCTGATCATGATACCCTAAACTTATTTGGTGCAGCAGAGGGAATACTGGCTGATTATTTAAGTTCAGCAGTATCCAGCATTTCTTTTGGGGAAACCAGAGATATGGAGAGCATAGGGTTAGTTTAGTGTCTGGCACTGACTTAAGCCTTGATTAACCTGAGTTGAATCTGTCTGGGTGGGTGTCTTTATACAGTATTCCTTAGCACATTCGTACTGCCTGTAGATAATCCCTAGATTATAGAGAACTGATTGTATATTCACTCTGTTATAGTGGTCCAATCCATTAAAAACCTGATTGGTAAAAAGTTCCCCTCCAGCTATAGCAGGAGTTATGTCACTTATTTTCAGTACCTCATAAACATGTAAAAATCAGAATATGAAATAAGAATACATCTCGCCCATTGTCCCCTCAAAAGAATTATCCATTGTCTCTCAAAATGTAATTGACAGGTTGTTCATTTGTGCAATGGCTGGCTGACAAGCATTCATCATAATGACTTGTCTAGCCAGGATGATAGTCATATTATTATGATCAAGCATGAAAGTCTTACTAGCTAAATGAGGAGCCATGTGGATTTGCCTGTCCTGCTCTCACTGTCAATATATGAAGGAAATGATCCTAGCTGTCACTGTGCTTTTTGAGTATAAGTTATTCAGACTTTAAGAAGGACTCCTTTGTCCTGTTTTACCATCTGTAGTTTTTCCCCAAATTACACATCAGAAATTAATTCATCTAAGGATAACTAACACTACTACTGTGTGAAGACCTCTATGTTGGCGCAGCAGTCTGCATGCGATCCCAGTAACTATAGCTGCAGCACTGAAAAATTTCTCAGTTTTACTAGAAATATGATATTACTTCCATCAATGTTTTTTGTCTCAGTGGAAGGAAATCTGAGGCAAAAAAATGCCCTAAATAATTTTCAAGGGTGAGAACTATAAGAAAACTTTCACCTCACCTTTGTGAAGGTCCTCAAGAAGCTGCACTGTGGCCTTGTACAAGAGTGCCCATATATCTTCTTCCGCCAAAGGGCTTCCTTTTGCCCACAGGACCTCGGCCAGTGTCACACAGGAACTGCTCATGCCTGCTGCAATAAAAACCAGATTTTGGGCATGCTAGAGGACAGTGAATTGCTCAAACCATTGTGACTACAATTATAACTTCTTCTCACAATAAGAAATCCTTTGTGAACCACCACCCTGCTTTGATTGCTAAAGGTAGGTATGGTTTATGCATGTCTTCACCTGAGCAAGAGTGAAGAAAAGGGGCTGAACTAAATGACTTTTATGATCTTTTCCAGCCCTTTTACTTCTCATTTGTAATGAATCAGAATTGCGTGGGGCAAATCACTTCTATTCAGGAGATCCTTCATGAATTTGTACTGTTCACTTTGAGTGGTCAACTGAATGGTTGGGCATTTATTTTGCTCCTTAATTGGATGCTCTTGTCTATAAAAACATGAGATGGGGATAAACAAAGCATAATCCGTTGTGTGTTTTGGGGGATTTTTTGTGTGTGTTTTTTCTTGTGTTTTTTTTTTTGCTTCTAGGCAGAAGCTAGATGAGAGAAATGGAAATATTCTAAGAGAGAGAATATGCTAATGGAATATTCTAATTCTAAGTATTCTACTTATAAACATAGCCTGACAGAGTGCTTTTTCTTTCATTCATTGCTTAGCAGACTGATCACAAAAGGCTTGGAGACTCTCACCAAGTTCATTGAGAGATTTTTCTTGGTCAGATACCTAAGACATGGAACTTGCAGTTCATTCATACTAATATATCTATAAAATTGCTTTGTTTCAGTGAACCAAACTAAAAGATAATTCTCTGTGTGCTGTTGAATAGCATGCAGTGGTATCCAGCACACTGTCCTATATGAGCAAGAACATAAGACCTGGCCTACTGAAGAATGTTGGTCCATGCACTCCTGTTCTGTCTCAGTTGCAATGCAGCATAAGATCATTTACAAGAACATATCCTATAGTGAGTAATAATTTAATGCCTATGGGAAAAGTATTTGCCTAATCCCGGGCAACTGAAAACTGACTTGAAGTATCAAGGTTTATTTTCCTCAGAAGGTCTTACCATACTAAATATTGTCAAGGAAGATTCTGTTATTTATAAATGAGTGACTTTTACATTTCACTGGTTGCATGCTTTTGTAGTGTACTGATTTAGGTAGAACTGCTCTAGATCTGCATGTCTGTAAGGAAGACTGAATCCAAGCTTCAACGTGGCTAGACATTTCTAGAATTAGTTTATGCTTCTGTTATTGTCTTGCAACAGTGAGTTCCATAGGTTCATTGGATGCTGTGTAAATAGGGGAACATTGAGAAAGTTGGAAGTGATCTATCTATTGCTTTGTGGTTTTAGCATTGTCTATAAACCCCCGAGTGAGGACGCTAGAGCCTAGGATGTTACTTTTATTATGTATACGGCTATAAATGCAACCATGAAATAACTTCACTCACAACCTGAAAGCAGCTCTTCCCCACCCCCAGCCTTTTCTCCACCCTCTGTACACAGCCCACTTATTGCAGGCAGAGAGCAAATGGCTGCAATAGAATTTACTGTTTGACAGCTGATTTCTTTGCCGGTTTCCTATTTATTATGCAGTCTTCAAGGGGTCACTGCAAGACCATTACAATGTTTTGTGGGACCAACTTGTTGTTAATTAATAGATATTACTTAAGCTTTGCTTCATGGGGCTCTGTTCTGACTTACAGCTTCCAGACAGGGAATCAACATGGGAAGAGCGATCGCTTGTTGCAATCACCACAGGATTATGGACCAACCTAGTGACATTTTGAATGGAACCAGAGTCCTAATTTTAGTCTGTGTAGCTTCAAGGGGTAGTAAAGCTTCTTAAGAACCTAACCTTAATTAGAAGAGACAGACAAATCTGCTTAATCTAAGCCATCACCATCTTTCTTAATAAATTACTGTGATAGCATTTCACTTAACACTGTAGTACTGGGACTAAACAATCAATTCACATCCCCACTGCTGGAATCTGTGTGGCTTCTCTATAAGACTAATCCACCAGGCTATGCTTACTGCAGCTTTACTTGGGTCTGTATCAGGGGAGGGGGACTGTAGCTTCCATTTTAAATGGAAGTATTTCTATGAACAAAGTGATTTCAGTGCTGATGTTTCTAACTAGCTTAAATTACTTCATAAGCAGCTATCCAGAGTCCAGGCCTTTCTGCTTCATGGAGCTAGTGAAATCAGCAGTTACACCTGAGCTGCTTCAGCTTTGTGGTGAATGTTTTTAAGTCTAAAACTTGCATCTCAGATTAATAGCGAGTGTGAATTAAATGAATTCAGCTAGCAATGATGTGATTTCTTTTAAAAAATGATTAGGTCATATGCTCATGGAAATCAGTGTCTCTTTGAAGTTCATAAATTATTGCTTTAATGTTATATTTCACTGTAGAGTTCATGCTTAAGCATTGTCTTGCTTTAAAAGCAAATTGACAATTGATTTTTTTAAATATACTCAAAAGTCTTGTATTTGTGGGCTGTATTTTTGATCTTTGTTTTTCAAGATCAGCATGATGTGATGCTTCAAAAAATGTAATTGTATGAGTAGGAAAAAATACATTTTTTCATAGCCAGCCCAGACTGCATATGTGTTATGAGAGTAAAAGTAATAGTGGTATTATCACTGTACATATTCATGGTCCTTCAGTTCAAAAAAATCTGTGATCCAGAACTAAGCAATTCTGTCCTCATTCAGACAAGCTACAAGTGATAAGGCAAAGCAGATAAAATAGGAGGTAAGGAGGAGAAACCTTACAAGAAGAGACCTGGTTATTTACAGTACCAATACACATAAAAAAAGATGCTTGATCTCATTGAGGCTGTGGGGAGAAATTAGGGCAGCAGAATGTAATCGCCCACTCTGGAATTTGGCCAGGACATGGAGGTTAATGTTTTTGAGCCTGGGAAAAGTAGAAAAGGACTTCCATGGCCTAATTGTGCTGCCTCTGAGGTCAAAAACAAATCTCCCACTGTCTCTTATGGAAGAAGGTAGAGATCTCCAGTGCCATCTAACTAGGAAAATCAGCCTAAAGAGTTCTCCCCATTCTAATTTTCACAGCAAAGATTCATTCATTACATAGACCTCCTCGAGTTAATAGTGCTTTGTGGTTTTTTTCCTTCCCTGGGAAGAAACCAGTCTATGCTGCTTGTATAGATAGGCCTAGCAAACTGAGGTAGAACCCTTTGTTCTACCACCAACATCCATGTATTTATCACATTTCTTTTTAATCTATTTCATTCTACTTTTGGTATATTTTGTTTCTTGTGTGCAACCTTTCCTCCAAAGAGTTGTTGAAATCTAGGGTCAGTGAAGGTAATAGAGTTCATTATGAAAAATAATGAACTACAGCTTTGCAGCTGAATTTGGCACTTAATAACAATCAAGCATTATTAATTTCATATGTCAGGGTCACTTTATGTGCAATTTGGCTTTATTAGATTTGGCAATCTTATTTAGTAATGTGTAAGGGAGCAATTTGGCTTTTGTCAACCTTCACCTTTACTTTTGCTGCTTTCTTGGCTGTATAAAAGCAGAAGAGCTAAAAACTATTGTTTTGGGGTAGGGTAACTGACTTTCCCTTTTCAAACAGTTATAAATCAAATATCCTCAGGGGGCACTGGGGCATCTAGATTCCTAAATAAAGGACAAGCCTTTTCATATAAGCCTATCAGTTTACTGGGAAGTTGGCTCACCTATGAAATCGGTTTCTATAGAATGAAAGTCTTGATCCATTACCTGGATGGTGGTGAAAAATCAGATGAAAAAGGGGAGATCACAGGACACAGCAGTGAATAAGACTGAGGAAGGAGGAATCAGGCTTAGGTTTTGAAATTACTGGGTCAAGTTTGTTTTTAGTGTAGTTTTAAAGTAAATCAAGAATGCACTTGTTCCGTTTGGGCATCTTGAAAGACAGCTGGAAACTAAAGCATTGGCAAAAGCTTTGTATATAAAGACAACAAAAACAGCAAAACAAAAGATTGACCTTGTGTAAGAACCAAGAATTTTGAAGTGGAAAGGCTTCTATGTCAACAGAAATGCCTTTCTGTTTTTACCACCAGGAAGTGGTGGTAAAAGAACTTTGTTTTTTCAAAGTTCTTGCCTTTCTTCTGACTGAACAGCCCATCCTGCTTTCTTATACTGTCTTGTGTATTGCAAAATATCTGGATGGAAGCTCACACACCTGGGGTGAAATCCTGGTCCATTCAAAACATAGCAAGCTGCTATCAACATCAGTGAGTCTAAGATTCTGTTCAGTATTCTTATGTATGCAGTGGGGAGGGAAAGCTCTGTAAATGTTAACTATTTTAATTTCATATATTAACCTAAATTGTTTCCATATATAGTATTTGAAATAAACAGCTTGATTTTTAAGAAGATCCCTTGTTTCAGCTGTGCACATTCTGTGAGTCCTGCTCCCACCACCACCCCCATACTAATTGCCTGCTCTGGTTCCCACCATGTCCTCACTGCTCTGTTATTTTCTGTCTTCCCTGAAGACTTCTGTAATTCCCTACCATTTGTCTGCAGTGGAGAAATTGTGCTTAGCAGATGCATTTGATAATTCCTAATTATCTTTCATGATAAAAAACGGCTAGCTAACTTTTTAAGCAACATCCTTTTTCTTGACATGAGGTGCCGAACAATGAGTTGATGTATCAAGTAACATGTTTTCTGAATACACCCTGTGTAGGAAAGGTCATAGACTAACAAAAAACAGGTGAGGGCTCCTATCTAGATAAAATCACTCTGTTTATCCTGTCTTTTGGTTTCATCTGTGTTTTTTCACCCTTCAAAGATTAACATCTTTTGTTAACACTCTACTCTGAACGCCTTATGTTTAGGAGTAGCCCAGTGATGAATTTGTATCTCTGCAACTTTATGACACAGGAGTTCAGAAGCTTCACCAAGTGGGTCTTAAAATTCATTGAGGACCAAGAGTAAATTAAAACATAATATTTGATTTAAGGCAAACCAGTTGCTTTTTTTTAACACTAAGTATTCCAAATACCTAGATCCGAGAATTCCTCCTGCCTGTCTTAGGCAACCTGCAATAAATCAGACTTTATTACCAAATTAGAGGGATTAAAAAATAGGGCTAGTGTTAACATTTTGATTGAACCACCGTTTTGAAATCATCAGTGATAATTCTACAGTAAGTTTACAGGGTTTCAGAAAGGTTTGTCCTGAGCCCAGCAGTGTGATTGTATGCTCCCATCAATTCCAGCTGCTCTGACTTCCCTGAGTCACTCACTGCCATGGTGAGAGGGACAGCATAGAGCATGAACCTGATCCAAGGCCAGAACCATATTAAGGTATGAAGGAAGGGTTTGCATGTTATAGAAGCACAAGGTTATAGGCTAGGACATATATTAAACTTGCTCTGGGTCTCTACAGAGTTCACTGAGAAGTTTGGGATCAGTGAAATAATTCTATCAATTCAAGAGTATATACTCTTAAAAACAATTTTCACATGAGGATCACAATCTTTTGTTGCCCAAGGCTGCAGGTTTTCTGCTGCTTTAAAAAAAAAAAAAATCCCAGTGTTGTAGTTTGCAATGCTATATGGAGTCTTTTAGAGGTGTTGATCTACACTCACTAGGTCATTATGAGATATTGAAGAAGCACTGAAAGCTGGGACCAAGTTGTCTATCAGTGAGAACTCTAAGCCTGTTTTTGTTTTGCATCTGACTTTCATTACAGTCCACAAAACTGTAACATGCAGTTGGCTATAGAGGAAAGAAGATGATTGTTTCAGTCGGTAATTGTTATATTTATCATAGTTGAAAATGGTGTGAGCTTTGGATAGAGCCTAACAACATCTATTGTGTTGATGACAGTTTGGGTATTTTAGTTTAGGTTATGTTTTGTGCTTGACGCACAGTATTCTTATATGAGAAAAATACAGCATATGGTTATGAAAATTAAAGTATAGAAATGAATTGCTAAGAAGTGACAACTAAATATATTACTTGTGTAGATATATTCATGTAAAACATTTAAAACTGAAAATCGAAAAATTCTCGAAAAAAATTTAAAATGTTGTTAAAATTGAATTAAGGGAATGCTCTTCCTATCACCAAGCTAATAACTATTACTGATAATAGGGGAAATACAGAAAAACTATATGGAAATAAAAGTAAATCTAATATCTTAATCATAACTATATGAATGTTTTAGAGAAACAAAAAAGGAAGAACCTAGGGAATATAGAAGCTCTTGCTGTGTACCTGAGTATTTTTCCATGTCCAGCTTACACAGGAAACTCAGAGTTTATATAATGCTGCTTAGGATCACTGCAGTACCCCTTTAATATATTTAAAGTCAGTTTGTGGTATATACTGTCACCTATAACAAAATGTTAACATAGTTTTTGCCTGGAAATAAAAACAGAACTGGATAGACAGCTGGATGCAGGCTAATTACTTGGCTTAAGTGCACTCTACTATATTTGAATTCTAAAATACCTTTGTATTTTAGCTACATAAAGTTTGAAGAGTCTGAAAAGGGTATTTTTTTGAAAGGTCTAATTTTAAATTTCAAACTGATTTATTCACATGTTTTCAATATACAAATTTTATACTCTGACTCACTGAACAATTGTTATAATTTTGGAGAGAATGTTCTTTGTAACAGAGATATGAATCCTGTGAAGTAAGAAATTCAACTCTGAAATAGGGGGTAAAAATTTATAGTTTTATAATTTGACTTAAATACTAAAAACTTATGTTCAAATAAAGTAGATGGGAGGAGCCAAATCTGTAAACACTGATAAGTCCATAAGGGTGTTGCCTTATTGCTGAAGCATGTGACTTTTCCTTAGAAAGATTATGCCATGGAGGTTATAGCTGTAATGATACAGCCTTCATTGTATAGTATGTTTACACCCTGTAATGCCAATTCATTTGTGCTATTTCTGTTCTAGAAACATGCGCTTTAATCAGTAGAAGAATTAGCCAGACTATTACAAAGTATTCAGCATTCAGGAGAAATAAAATTTCATTTCTGAAGAGATCCAAGTTTCATTGCTAGGAAACCGTAAACTTCTCATGGGTTAGGTCTCTAAGCAAACACCAGCTTTTGAAAGTCTAATCTTTGAAAGAGGTGAAATCTGAATCCTGAACTGTGTGGTTATATGCCTCTCTAGTGAGTTCTGTGAGCTGACTGGTAAGGGTGTTAAAATGGATGAGGTTTTATAACAAGATCTATGGACATTGTTTCTCAAAGACACAGTGCTGCCAAAATGTTATTGTTGCTAAACGTGGAAAAAAATCAGTATTCTACAGAATCAAGCTTACAGGGCCAAATTTTGACTCCCTCTTCACTTCGGTGGGAACCTACTTAGGAATTGCAGATGAGAATATTGTGCTGTCTGCAGTCAGTTTGCAAATGGATGTTCTTTCAGTAGAAATGTATAAAACATCTCACTGGATAACTCCACGGAGAATAAAGTGGTCCTATGTTCTTGCTAAGCTTATACACCCTATCACAACCATTTTGGCTGAGGTCAAACCCAAAAACATCTGAAGAGTTCTATCTATTAAGGACTACTGCCATTCTTTGATTTTTTTTTTAATGCATCTTTCATGAAAAGTACATTCTACAAGAAAGCATAACTTACTAGTGAAATGAATCTAATGTTGTTGGTATGCAAATGTTTCAAAGATTAAAGTTTCGGAGACATATTGTCTGCTGCTGCAGCACCAGAAATATAGGACAGTAGAGCTCAAATGGGATAATAGTATTTTTCTTTTATGTTTGTGAGAGTGTCCTTTTTTAGACATATAATTCTCTGCAATGAGACAGCCTGGTTCCATAGATAAGAACTGGGAATCAGGAATCAAATGCTACACTATTGCTGAAATTAGAATGTGTCAGTACAACACATGTTGAAGGACCTGAGCAGACTTTGCTAAGGTGCCAAAGAAAACCCGAAGTCTCAATAGCCAAGATTTTAGCATATGCTATACAGACCTCCCAGAGACTATCCATAGCTTCTCAAGCAGCTAACCCTACTGCAGTCAGTGCTGCTGTGCTGTGCCTATTAATACAGAAGATAGGTAATCTAAAGGTAGTGTGAGTCCTGCAAGTGTCACAGTTGTACCTTTGTTTCCTGCACGGAGATATCCGAAGGTTCTGATCTTGGTTCTGCTGCTGACCAGCTCTATAACCCAGCAAAGTCTCAGTGCCTTCTTTTACCACATCATCAAGGACAATGTGGTTTTCTGTCTTTAGTGAGGCACTTTAGATGTAAATAGTAAATTACCATTATTTGTATTCCTTTAGCGTTTCCATCTAAATTTCTAAATCATGAATGCTTATGAAGTATATGCCAAACTTCCATAAAATAACACCTGTTTTTATTTTAGAAACAGCAAGCTGTAGTGCTGAAACTTGCTTGAAGATGGATGAGAGAGTAGCAGCAAATAAATCAGGAAACCAGATTTCTAGTCCAAATTATTTAGTCCCAGGCTATTATCTCCAGAACATCATATCTTTCTTGGCTTTGGAGTTCAATGCTTTTTTTAAGTAAGTATAATTCCACACAAATCTATGAATAAGAAGCATTTAAAACAGTTTTTCCAGAATCATGCAAGCTACATTATACAAATGAAGACTTATCCCTGCCATAAGAGCAGTAACAATTCAGCCATTTCTAATTCAACTGTTTCTATTCCTTTTCTTTCAATAGAAACTAGGAAACAGTCTGAGGTACTTTGAATTTTTATGAGTGAAAGTCTGTTATGGGTGAATGTTTCTAACGCCTAGAAAAGGCAGGAGGGACTGAGCGTAGATGTTCTAGAGCACAGTCTGACTGATCCTATATTACCATTTTTAATACAAGCTCATTTCTTTTCTTGCTTTAACGTAAGAAAAAAGTAAATATTAGTGCTGTACAAAGCAAAGACGAGGAATTCTTTAATGCTTATTTAATTGATAATGAGATTAAGAGAAATACATAAGAACATACCTGTACAAGTTGAACAGATGCTGCATCCAGATTGGTCTGAAATCTTCTATATTTTTGCCCAATACCTAATGCAGTTTAGATCTTCACAGTTATAAAATTCATATAAGACATATTCAGGACTTGCTTTGGCTTTTGTTTCTTGCTTTCTTACGTGCACGTTCTCTCTTCTTTCTTTCTTTCTCTTTCTACTGCTTTGTTTATATCTTTGTAACTAAGCAGTGTGTGGTCTGGCAAATGGCTAAGCCAGCAAACAATGAAGTTCCTTCTCCTGCTTGCAAGCCCAGCCTGGCAGCTCCTGGTGTGGAGTTCAGGACAATGTCATGGCTGCTGAAGCTGTTTGCACTCTTTTTTTCTTTCTTTTTTTTTTTTTGACTGCTCACCCACCAGGTAATAGAGTCTGCTTTTAGGAAGTGGCTCAGTGTAAATCTGTGGGTCTGTTGACATGTAAGACCTCAATTGGATTACCTGACGCACACAGGAGTGTTAGGTCTAAAGCCCTGTAGACTGATGTCACTTTCAGCCCTCTGCCAGCCCAGGGAGAAGGAACACATCAAGCCCAGAGTGGCTGTCTAGGGAGAGAGAGTGTCTTGTATGGTGAGCAAAATCCTTCAGACTCTGTCAACCTGCAGATAAGATTTCGGTGGTCTGCCTTCCAGGAAAAAACACCTGAAAGTTTAAAGAGGAGTTTCATTAGTTTGTTTTATAGTGCTCAATCTGAAAAATCCTAGTTAATTATGGCAGGGTGTGGCTGTGCTGAGAACAGAGCGCAGGGAGCCCCGGGGATGCAAATCTGAGTTGGGCATAAGGAAGTGAAAAAAACATTAGCAAAAATAAAAGGAAGTCCTATTAGACTTATTAAGATCTTCACATTCATTTTTTCCTAATTCTTCCCAATGTTTCTTTTGACATCGTATTTTCTTCCCTCAGTCTTCAAAACAGTTGTCCTCTGATGTGAGCTGAATAGCAATCCCTCTGCCTTCAAAAAATCCAAATTCGTTCATTTACTTCCAAATCTTTAAAAAAAAAAAAGGAGGAAGTTATCAAAATGTATGTTATGTATTGCCATGGCAAATATCTGTTTTTTGATATGATTAATATTCAGATAGAGCAGATAGCAGCTTATTTTTAAAGATTCTCAGAAGTTTCATGCAATAGAATAAAAATATAGTAACACACAAGGCCAAAATCTACATCAACAAAATGTTCTAATCAGGCAACCATCTCTTTTGCTGTCCATGTCTGTGGTAGCCACAAGTCAAGATTATTTTATCGTCAGAAGCTGAAGTCATCTTTACTCCAGATCCTCATACTGCTTGATCTGATACTATCATCCATGTTCTTCTTGATATCTTATCCTTCCCTGGACTCTTAAGACTCTTTCCACTCCTGGTTCTTGCCCGTAAGTGCTCCTCTGGGGAGTAATTGGAGGATCCTTTACTTTCTCCCACCAACTTTCTATAAGGATTCCCTGAAGCTCCATCTGTCGCTCTTTCTTTTTTCTCCCTATATTTTGTCTCTGAGCAATGTGATCTGCAAATGCCATTGCAGCTACTACGATCTTAATGCAGAGGCCCCATAGCTATCTCCACTGTAGATTTCTTTCCTCGTGTCCAAATGAGGAGATAGTTTTTCTTTGCCTGTCTTCATGCAACTAGTCATTTAAGTTTAACATGGCCAAAAAAAGACCTTGCATTTCCCCATTTCTCACTCCGTTTTCTTTTCTTAGTCCCTGTGAATTATACCGCTGTTACCTTAAGCCCCTGGGATTCATCTTCAGCTTGGCCTTCTTCCTAAGTCAACCTTTTCAGTTTATCTGGATCTTGGTACATGTTTCTGAATAAAATTTACAAGCTATGGCCTTCCTTATCTAATTAAATAACAAAATATTTAGGCTTTCATCACCTCATAGCTCAATTGCTGCTAATCCTTCTCTCCTGACAAATGTAATATTACCTTATCCCAGGATGGTACTGAAAAGATCCATTATGCTGATTCCCACACTGGGCACGTCACCCATCTGTTTTCATCCTTTCACTGCACTATTTTTTTCATAGCAGCAAAATAAGTCTATTTTTTTTCTAAATTTGGTCTTGGTCCAGAAGTCATGAGTCTGATCTGAAAGGTAGTCTTCCAGGAATCCAGGCAGGAATAAAACTTGTTTAAAAAGTCTTGCATCTGAAATACTTTGAAATCAGCAAGCTAACATTTTCTGATAAATCTTAGCAACTGTGCGGTAGAGACTATCTGGTTACCCTTCTGATGTGATCGCTGGGACTGACATTGCTCTTCATCTTTCAGGTCCCAAACAAAATCCTTGCAGTGTATCCAGATACCAACAGATCAGTAAAAAGCTATTGTGGATAAAGTGAAACTGAGTGTCCGTGCACTTTGGGATGTATTCAGCCTGATCATCAATACAATCATACTAACAGGAAAAAAGCAACACAGAAGTTTGTGCCTGTTCCTTCTGCAGGTAATGACTGGGGAAGAGATACGAAGTTACTTACAGTTGTGCGTTTCTGGCTGCCAAAATTTGGTTTAAGTGGGTGAATGTATAGTAGTGTTTCTGGAGTTAACAGGGTGGCTTGTTGACTCATTTTGCTCAAAATAAGGTGTTGTGTGAATATGCCCTCATTACGTCAGGTGGAAAGGTTGACTTGATTAACTAATCAAAGTGCCTAAATAATTTATGCTCGCTGCTTTGAGGAAAGACCTAATCATTCTTCTTATGAAAACACGGGCCTGCTTCTGACCTGATCTACATTGGTGCAATTCTGTGGTGGTTCTATTGATGGAAGCAATTGTTCCAAATTCATCAAAATCAAATTATGACTCATGTTGCCTTCTGTATTCTGAAAAGCTCTCTCTTGAAAATATAGCCATTTTAGAAAATTATTCACATCATAGCTGTCTGAACCTCAGTGGTATTGCAGACTCATAAACTCAAAACAGACTGTCGTAATGTGGAAGCTTCAGCTGAATTCATTCAATTCCCCCATTGAATTCTTTACTGTATACAGATGTATGTGATTGTGGCAAAGTTTATGTAACTGAACCACTATTGTAAGAAGGTTAACAAGATGAAAGACTGTTTATCCCAGTGAAGGAACTGCTGGATGGAGGCTTAGGGTGTTCCCAGCTTTCTGAGAATTGGCAAGGGTTAGAATCCTATTATTCTCTGACATTAATGCCTTTTCATCCCACGGAAGCTAAGTGTGGGAAGCTCTTAAAGTTTACATAAAGGTGATGATTATTAGTTAGTTCTCAGCTGATGCTAGTTGAGACGGGCTGTCAAAACTGCAGCCACAGGTCAGGGATGGAGTTTCCACCCAGCAGAGATGACTTGAAATACTTGCATAAGTTCTATTTGACTGTACTTCAGAGTCCCATGGACCATAAACTGCTTGAGCAATCAGAGCTAAATGGAGATTGCTTGAGCCTTCTGAAGAATCAGGAAATGTTCCTTTTTGTTTCAAGTCTGCCCAGGTCGTATAACAGGACCTAACCACTTCTGATAGTAAACTTCTATGCATCATCTGTATAATCAGTATACACCCAAGTTAAAGACTTATTTCCATGTGATTTCTAAGCAGATTGGAATTGATCCAGTCATCTATATTTAGCTTAGCAAAGTAATATAGGGATGTGAGTCAATATGCTTGCTCTAGTCTTTGCAGTCAGAGCTATTTCACATCAATGTCTTCATGAGACACCAGATCTGGTTTGAGTAGCCCTGGTCTCAGCTGTGAAGAAAAACAAAGACATGTAACATGTAAGCAAGATGCAAATGATCTACATAATGAATTTCAAATTAATAGAAGAACAAACATATCTGGACAGCCTGTTTCCCTCTAAGAAGTAATTCCTAAGTTAATCAAAGCACATTAAACTAAGAAGGGAGTTTATTTGAACTGACCCCTGTGTGGAGAGCCATGAAGACAGCATAGCTCTGATGTGCCACTGGTGAGAATAACTGGTTTTCTTTAAAAGCAATAGTTGGCAAAGGCTGGATCAGACTCCTAAGAGATCTATATCTTTCTAAAGTTCTGCTGAACTGATAAGACCCAATTTAAAGTGATTATCTGATTTTTTTTAACAGACTAATTTTCGTTTGCTTGTTTTGCCGCTTTTGAGATGCGATATGAGGCAATAAAACACAACTGGAAAAGTAGCTCATGTTTGTGCTACCTGATTGCAGCTTTGCTGATCCCATAGGTAACTGAATGATGGGCGATATTGCTATGATACATCTTCCTATGCATCTTCCTATGATTCAAGAAGAGAGAACGTGAAAAAAGTAATTCATGAAATAAAGGACAAACTGGCAGTGTTTAATGACCAAATGCTCACTGGCTGTAATGGAGTCACTCTCTAAGAACTGTGAGTTCAGGCCATTAGTGTGAGGAAAGAAAGAAACCTTTAAAGAAGTTTCACTCTGGAATATGTTAACAGAATTCCATGGGTATATCCTGTGAATAGTTTCATTAAAAATAGCCATTTAAACCTGCAGTGAAGTGAATGCTGGTTATAAGACTGGAAAAGAGATTCTGTCTTTAGTCTGATCTTGGCCACTGCTATGAAACCTGCATACATTCAGACATGCTTGTGTATATATCAGAGTGACAGTTTACTTACGGAGTGAAAATAATTTTTCTCTACAACAGCTGAAGTGATCAAAATATATCTTCATTTCAAAATCCTAAAATGGGTGTTCACAAGTGGTCATAGGGTAGTACTGCACAGTGCAGAGTCGTGTGGAGGCAGCAAAGCTAACACAAAGAGGTGTAATTTCTCTCAAGGGGAATTGTTTGTTATTGCAATTATCCTGCTTATTGTAACTAGTGTAGTTTGCTTAGTTCCAAGTCCTGGCATTTTGCAGTATAGGCATAACACACACAAATATCTTCAAAATGCTTTCGTCAGTGCATAATAAAATACCAAGTCAAAAGAGATAAAACTAAGTTTTCTGTGTCCCTTTACCTGCCATTTAGCTTGCGGTCTTCACATTTAGTTGTTTTTCAAATCTGTATTCAGAAGCTACTAGTTTGTTTGGTTTTTTTTTAATCAGGATCATCATAT